CCCCCCTCTTTCCGACAACGACCGGACGGTCCTTTATGGATGGCCCCTAAAGCAGCTCCCACTTAGTTTCAGCAGAGGGAATTTGGGGGTATTCCGCACACAAATCCCTCACACATGCTACCGGAACACAAATATACATGCCCCGGAGCGGATCAGGATGTGTTATGCGGCACCACCACAATGACAACCTGGCTGGTATCTGATTTGAAGGTAAGTCTAACTGAATGTACTGAGAAACTACTCCTCAGGACATACCTGCGGTACAGCTCCTTAGCGTGTCCTGCCGAAGAACTACCTAACATGTCCCCGGACAGGGCGCAATATCTGAGTACCTCCCCAAGGGAACCCGTCGGGCTAGGATCGTTCAGAGGAAGAGTCATGGTAAAAATTTTCAAGTTTTCATATCTCATGGGGTGCTCCCTCACGAAAAAAAAAAGCCTTCTGTCAAAATGTGAACGAAATCGGACAATATTTGACCCTCCCGAAACGGATTGAAAGTTTAGCGTTAGTTTCTTATTAAAAAACAACAAATATTTGGCCAAGGGCTCAAAATAATTTTTGTAGACCATAACCGTTGTGAGGAACGTGATCTACGCTCAAAACCGAGTCAGACGACATGCCGCTTGCCATTGTACTCCAGCATGTCTTTAGAAAAGACGTAACTTATGCATATCCGCTAGGAATGTCCCAGTTTGAAAGTCACCAAGACGACCTACGACCTCCTCAAGATGTCATGGTAAGGGGGACTAGCAGGATGATGATTATACATCTGCCGCCGGGAGCTCTTTGGTATGCCAGTGCCAGAGGCAGCCGTGAACTGTGCAATATTTGACCGACAGATGACGTTAGCGTCGCGTTCCTGTAAGGATTTAACATTTTTGCGTTAAAATGTACAAAATAATAAGTATTTTGAAGAGTTGTGTTATTTTCCTTTACAGCAATGGTCATGAAGTCAAACTGCGCCACCAAACCCACTTGCATGAACAAGTTTAGATTTTATGTGATCAATGTATTACTTTAATCATGCGGATCACCTGCATACCTTGCCTATAGACCCCTCGCCAAGTGTGAGGTACGATTGTAGTTAAGTGATACATCACATAACTGCCATGAATAGTTTATGCAAACTTGGTCAACCTTCCCTGTAAAAATCGGGTGAGCGTGGAACGAGTGAGCAACGAGTGCGCGACGGATGCGATGGGGGTGCGTGCCGAATTACCTTTTCACATTTCTCCTGCACCCCCCCCCCCCTCCCCATCCAACTTACGCACACGTAAGCCATTCTAGTAATCAGATTGCTTTCTTCGCTACGGACACACGTCAAGCTGTGCAGGTGGAGTTGCGCATGCCTAAAACTAAGAGAAATGCACTTCGTTCGACCAACTAACAGTGTGATCACTTGTTACGAAGCGTAGGTGGGCGCGGGCGCAGCAGCAGTACGCCGGAAGCCCAGAAACAGATTGTGCTAAATATAATTATATAGTTACACTATTATGCAATTTAAAAAACCTCAAAGCTTTTAGTGGGTGAGCTAGCAAACTATTTATAATATGCAATGCTACGACATACTTTGCAAGGATTCGAAAAGCTTTTAAAGAATTTCTTTCCCGTTAACGCTGCATAGCCCAAGTTTGCTAGCATTTTACAGTGTTCTCTTCAAGTGTCAGTTCCCCCCGTCTGGAGTTACCAGCACACCGAAACGGAACTGGCAACTGCAGTTGTCGAAGCGGTGCACCTATCTCTACTTTTAAATTACATCTGAATAGTATCAGTGTATGAATATTGACACTTACTGCTTGAACTGGACACTTGAATGGAGGCTCGAACTTGGACATTAGACTTGCCCAGGGCATCAGGGGTGAGTTTATAAAGCCACAGGCGTCCCCGTTGTGGACGTATTTAGTGAAATACTCGCATGTATTGGCTGACACGGCATCACGACACCTGTGGGCCACTCCGAGTAGCTGAAGAAACACGAAAAGAAAATTAGTAGGTCTTTATGTTTCGGAGTAGTAGGGCTTAAGATGGAGAAGTTTGTTTGCATCTTCTCCTCCAGAAAAACATGTCATCAGTGAAGCATTTTCACACATGGTTTTGTACGTACACGCCTGAAGTGCGGAAAATCCTCAAAGTTTACGGTCGTATTATATGCACTCAGCCGAATTATTCGCACTTTCTTTGTGACTGCAAATGCAACTCGTGTAAACCTCAGTCTTTCTCGTGCCATAAATTTTACCTTACTGTTATCACTTCCTCAAACCAACCCCTTCTTTATTTTATCCAATTTTTCCATCATCTATCAGAGCTAATCAGGGGCTTTAAGCGATCGAGGTGGAAGTCACTCTCCATAAAAAGTGTCGACGCCGTAACATCACCTCACCCTTCTGCCTTGAAGATGGATTTAAAAAAAAATAAGCGCAGTTTTCAGCCTGTATCGTTTTTCAAACAGTCTTTAAACTAGACTTTTGGTCAATGCTGTAAGTATATCGACCTCTAGCTCTAAAACGATTGAAGAGACGGCAATATCAAGGACAGATTCAGACTGAGAAAGAGCTGTTTTGGATGGTACTTCCTCTATCATCTGTCTGTGTGTCTCTGTGTCTGCTCCACTAGAAGGAGATGTGCTAGAGACTTCAAATTTTCATGGTATCTTAAGGTTCACTCCCAGAAAACGAACCGCCTTGGCAACCATCCCTAAGGGGCTGGAACGGGTGTATCAAAGAAAATGAGGAGGTCAAAAAAGTCAGAATTTTCATTTTTTAAAGATCTCCCAAGGGGTAACTCGTGAGAGTAGAATCCTTAGACCGGAAATTTCGTCCGTTTGGCTCTATCTCAAACCGTTTAGGCGCTGGGGGTCATTTTTGACGAAAGTAAGCTAAAAATTGCTGCAGTGAACAATAAGTTGTAGCAGAAGGACTAAAAACGGCACCCCCCCCCCTCCCCAACCCCAGCCCAAAAAACGTTTTCTAAGCCGAAGGGTGGGTTGTAGTCGCGGTACTTCACCGTTACATAATACCTTTCTCGTGACTACGGGTCAAATTTTAAAGACGACGGGCTTTAGCGGGCCGAAGGCCCGTTACATCATTTGATTATGTTTTATAGCAAATCGCGTGACAGAAATGGTTGGGCCGCAGGCCCGGCCATCGCCGCTGGCAGGCCAAGCAGGCCCCTCCTGCCAAACGGAGTTGCCGGCGCAGTGAAGCGGAGCTGGCAATTCCGTTTGGCGTAAGGGCGGGCCTGCTTGTCATATATCAACGATAGGCCTATGCCCCAACAGTCTCACTGAAGCACAATTGTTTGTGTACAGTCCAAATCCACAAAATATGTCCAAAAGAAGTAACAATTTGGTGTTTTCAATAAAAATGAAAGACAAATCCACTAAAAACAATGAATTTTGTTGAAGAAACTGTATTTTTATCAGCAGCTATTATGAAAAGAAAGGAGAAGCTGTTTTCTCCCTTTCTGGCTGTCTCCAGAACTCAACCTTTCCATTTGTTACACACGGCCCTACTGTCGTTACACACTGCCCGGGGTGGGGCGGTGTGTAACAGATGGCGACCTTTGTTCAGCAAGCCTTAGGTCATATTCAAATGCGCCTAGTAATACATACGAGCGACTCTTAGGGTTGGAAAAGATCCAATCTATCCTTAGCGTCCGATTCACTTAAAATTTTGATTTAGCTTGAATTTTAAAGCGTCCCAAGGTAGCGTCGCCGCCCTTTGCTCCCACCCCCCACGAAGTGGCCCTCGCCATCATGGAGTGGTAAGGCGTAGTAACTACCCACACGTGGACCAATTTTTTTCCTGAGTGTCATATGCCGAAACTCCCTGTAAAAGCGTATAATTTCGAAAAATACAATCGACGCGTCCTAACAACAATGTTCTATCTGCAGAGTGCGGATTACACAATGTTCTATCTGCAGAGTGCGGTTTACACAATGTTATATCTACAGAGTGCTGATTACACAATGTTCTATCTGCAAAACGGGGTTAGGCGCAGCCCTTCACGTTTGTGTGGTTTGCTAGTAACTGGAAGACATTAAGGCCAATCTGAGCACACGGAAAGAATCGTAAAGGTCCAATGTTTAATTATTGACTGCAAAAAGTGAAGTAGA